AAATAAACACAAAGACAGAAACATCTCAAAGAACATGCAGCGTTCAACTGTCTATTTATTTTCTTAGGGTTATTATGACAAGTTGGAACTTCTGATTCTAATTTTGAGTATAAAAACACTTGAAACAATAAAAAACACGTGTTAACAATGATATTATGTTGTAAGTATCATGTATAAACAATTGTAAAATAAAAAAATGTTTTATTCTGTCTTGTTTACAAAAGTCACTTAGATTTGTTGACTTGTTGAGGACAGAGGGTCATTGAAATCTAATAATTAAATGCTACAACTACTATTAATAAACGTATTTCCCCGCAGACATATCTTTAGTTAAACTTTATAGTAAAACATCTGTTTTATTATCCTCAGCAAATGTGACCTTTATTTATTGAATCTTAGAAGATGAAATTACTTTATTACAAAACTAATGACAGCCAGAAAATACACAGAAAACTGAATAATAACTAAAGATTGTATAAAATACGACCATTAATTTCACTTGACACAAAATACAAACAATAACAGGAGATGGCGTTTCAGAAAAAGAGGAAAATAACAGCGTATAAATAAATAAATACAAAAGTTAATTTGTTGTTGATATGAAAACAAATGTATGAATTAAAATATAAAAGAAAATGCTAAAAAAAATGAAAATAAAGTATCCATAAATAAGTACCTAAATTATTAATCTACTGTTGATATGAAAATAACGTTTTAATAAATATGCTAATTAATATTTACGTCAGACTCTTGTGTTTACATTTTTCCAACGTTCCACCCTGACGTCACCCGGCCTTGCCCGCCTGTGATTGGCTGTGTGCGGCCCTTCCTGATAATCTCCGCCCCTCCCGCCCTGCTGCTCCTCCTCCGCTGATGCTACGAAGCGAGCGCCGCTGACCGTCCGGAGCTCCATCCCGGACAGATTACCGGGCCGAAAGCAGCGACTCATACGCCGACACCGCCGAGGAACGAGCCGCCACACGGTAAGATCACCGGGCGGCTGCACCGCGGAGGTATTTCCGGTTAATCTGATGCCCCAGGGGAGGTAACGGTACCGGAAAAGCCGTCTACGAGGGCAGGGGGCTGTCCGGTAACTTAGCTGTTCTGTCGTTTAATTCCCGGTAAACCGGGAGAGTTTGACAAGCTGACCCTCGTCGGTAACGTCTGAACAGATGCGGAGGCTCGCAGCTACGGCGGCCTCCCGTTTTCTGATCCGTTAAATTGTAAGTGCGTTGATACAAGACGAGTTCCATTATCGGACGCGGTCTGGATTCTTTGTTTTCTAGTTTAGGTTTTTTTTTTCCTCGACAAACTTCTCCGTTTGTTTTTTTAACCTACCTGTCCGCGCACAGACCGGACAGGAGTCACCGAGAGTGTGAACACGGTGCCAAGCTTATAAACCGGCACGTTTACATTTAGCCAACATTACTTCCGCAGAAAACGCTGAACACGTCTCCGGTTTTCAGGCTGCACGCAGGTGGAAGGAGACGTGCACGTGTCCGATAATGGATGTCGCGGCAGATGTCGTTCATTCCTATGGAAGAATGAATCACTGTCGCCTTTTTAACACTTAACTAAATGTTTCTGTCCCGGTGACGCAGCGTTAGCTCGTGGCGTTAGCTGCATTTAGCCAGCTGATGCTAGCAGAAAGGGACTTCCTGATTTTTTTTTTTTTAATGGGTCGTTGATACGTCAGGACTCTGATGGGGGATCTGGACTCTGTGTTGGCGGATAGAAAGCTGCACTTCCTGTTTGCTTCACTGTCTTCTGCTCTGTATTTAAAATCACCCAGCACCCTCTCTGTCTTCTTCTGTGGTTGTGTTTCAGGTTCTCGCCCGTTATCTGACCTCAGGGGTGAAACAGTCGGCCGGCGTCCTGCAGCGGGAGACGCCCTCCATCCTCAGCGGGGACACTCGGGGTAAACCTGCGGTCTCTTTAACACTGGCAGACGTGGTGAGTGTACCTGCGTAACCTGGTCCAGCTTTGGGAGCTGGTTAAGACCTGGATCTGGCTGTAGCCTCATAGTAATCCTCTAAAGAGCATTAGCGGGCTAAGTTTGGCCCTGGACTGTGGCAGGCGGAGAAAAGGGGCTTCACTTCAGGTTTGTCAGCATGATGCAGATTTCTGAATCCTACAAGCAGAAGAACTCGCTCTTCAACGCCATGAACCGCTTCATCGGCGCCGTCAACAACATGGACCAGACGGTGATGGTGCCCAGCCTGCTGCGGGACGTCCCGCTGGACGACGCAGAGGACTTGAAGGCGGTGAGCGGCGCTAACGGCACCAACGGCGGCGCCTACTTCCAGCAGGTCGGCGACATGTACAGCTCGTACGTGCTCCTCAAGTCCATCCGCAACGACATCGAGTGGGGCGTCCTGCAGGGCGAGGAGCGGCGGAAGGAGAAGGCGGTCGTGGTCGAGGCGGCGGCGGCAGAGGAGGACGACCTGGAGAAACAGTTTCATTTCCACCTGAAAGGACTCCACGCCGTCCTGTCCAAACTGACCTGCAAGGCCAACACGCTCACGACCCGCTACAAGGAGGAGATCGGCTGCGGGAACTAACTTATAGACACTATTGTAAACGTCTGTGCAGGCGGTTTAAACGCGTTTTAGCTCATTAACTACAAGTCTGTTTACTTACTGTGAGGAACTGTCGAAATATAAACGAGCATCGGGCATAAATATGTTTTCAACACGGTGAATCTGACCGGACGTTTGATGCCCGCAGCTTTCGAGAATTCGGAGACACGTTTCAGTTTGAAGCAAATCTGAGAGACTTGAAACTGCTGCCCAACAGAGACCTTTTTAAAACTCATGGTTGGTCTTACTCTGTGTTCGGGGAGGACCTGGTCTTGAAATTGTGAAAACTACTGAAACAAAAGGGGACCCGAGTGAGATCCCTGAGGGACTAAAACTCCGACTATCTCGATCCTGACCGTTTCAACACGTCTCTTTTGGGTCCCCCAACTTTTTAAATGCTAGAAAAGATAAAAGTCACTTTGTCCTCCTTTTGTTTGGCTTTCTGACCTCCGTCCTCGAACGAGCCAACTGCACCGCCACACAAACAACTTTAACCCGAAGTCCATTAAACTTTAATGGGCAGCAGATTTCAGGACTCCGGGTTGGTTTTCATGGAAGGAAACGCTGATGATTTGTAAAGTTAATGAGCTCAAAACGCGCAGAAACACCGGCGCGGTTCATTAAAGAGCATTTATGTCCATCACAAAGGGACTGCGGGACGTCGGGGTTGGACACCGGAAAGCTGCTGTTGTCTGCAGGCGTCTGTCCGACTCAGCAGGTTCACTGTGGGTGTCTGTTTTTCTTGGGACTGTCTGCACTTTGTTTTCAGGGTTCGTCCGCCTGTTGTCTTTTTGTCCGTCCTCGTCCCCCCGCTTCATGCTGTACATTCAGGAATGTTTAATATCTGGTAATCCTGCCTCACATGTTCACAGCTTCATTTTGGCCAGCGAGTTAATTTTCGGCAGACTGATGTTACTGAATATTTTTGGGTTTTAGTTTAATCTGGTGCTAAACTACTGAAAACAGACACATGAAGCACTTTAACAGTTTCTGGACAATCTGATCCTAGTGGAAAATAATTGATGTGTTGAAAACGTTGCCCAGCGGGGACGGGATGATCTGATGAAGACGTTAAAATGGGTCAGACGCGATCGGTGAATCCACCGTGACGAGCTGCGGGCCTCCGGTTACCTTGATGTAAAAATAATTAAAGATACACTTTCTCATTTTGTCCCACAAACAAACACCGGAGAACATATCAAACTGTCTTTAATTGAAGGTCACCTGAGGCTGGAGCAGCAGAGAAAGCAGCTTCATGGTCGAAGACATTTCTGTGAAAATAATAATGTAACGTTACAGAGCTACATTTTTCTATTTCATGTCCAGCTTGGCAATTAAAGGTTTTTGATGAGTATTCTGGTGTTTTGGTTCTTTCTCAGAGTGCAGGCGTCCGTTTTATTACTGAAATCCATTTACACTTTTCACAAAATTCTGCATGTATTTAAGCTCAATTGTTGAAAACTAACAATAAAACACACATTTAAGAGGAGAGACTGTGGTATTTATAACTGTAGTACATGTATGTGGAAACGCAATCACAACCGCATCAACACCCCAGTATGACATATCTGTACAGTACGGAGTATAATACTTATTCTTCTGCATCATGTGTTTGTTTAAATGTCTGTTTTTATTATAACACCTTTGGAAAAGTAGAACAGATTCAGACGTTACTGTTGCATGATGAGTACGAGCTACTTTATAAAACAGAAACGTGACCTTGTCCTGAAGCGGAGTTAAAATAACTGCATGAAAGGGTTAATTTGCTGCTGCGCGCGTATTTCAGAACTTTTAAAACTGGATAATCTAAATTTAACTCATGAAAAAAGTGTAGAAGTTCTTCAGATGTGTATTTTTCATACCAATGCAATGTTTTCTGTTTGGTGGCCCGACCTGCGGAGAGGTCATAAACTGGGATTTGTGGGTACCAAAATGCTGGACCCCACGTATAAAGGGGCAGGTTGAGACCAGGTTTTAGTCTTCACAGGATGACAAGAGTGCGTCATTGATCTTCTGTTAATGGAATCTCTTGGCTTCTGGCTGGGACGCTGCTCTGTTATTAGATCAGTTACTCAGCAGCAGCCGACAGAAGCTTCACCCAGAGAGTTCGTGTGCTGCTTCTGTCGGCTCCATCAAATTATCGATGTGTCGTCTAATTTATGAAGTTACGTTCGTCCTGCTTTAAATAAACACTTGTTGTTGTTCCCGTGGTTTGTTTAGTGAAGCAGCGAACACGGTGACTCTGTTTACTGTGTGTGAATTTTATTTACTTATTTATTTTACAGGTGCTCAGACTGCAGTTCTGGGCCCATTTGTCCCTGATTCACCACGACCAGAGACCAGAGACCAGATCTGGTCTGAGACCCTGGAACATTTTGAGTCAAGGTTCAGAGGAGTCAGGAGTAGAAACAGTATCAATACCACAGTGTAGAAGTACCAGCACAGTGTAGAAGTACCAGCACAGTGTAGAGAGTACTACCACAGTGTAGAAGTACCAGCACAGTAGTAGTAGTACCAGCACAGTGTAGTAGAAGAAGTACCACCACGGTGTAGTAGTACCACCACAGTGTAGAAGTACTACCACAGTGTAGAAGTACCACCACAGTGTAGTAGTAGTAGTACCACCACAGTGTAGAAGTATACCACAGTGTAGAAGTACCACCACAGTGTAGTAGTAGTAGTACCACCACAGTGTAGTAGTAGTAGTACCAGCACAGTGTAGTAGTAGTAGTACCACCACAGTGTAGTAGTAGTAGTACCACCACAGTGTAGTAGAAGAAGTACCACCACAGTGTAGTAGAAGTAGTACCACCACAGTGTAGTAGAAGAGTACCACCACAGGTAGTAGTAGTAGTACCACCACAGTAGTAGAAGAAGTACCACCACAGTGTAAGTAGTAGTACCACCACAGTGTAGAAGTAGAAGTAGTACCACCACAGTGTAGAAGTAGAAGTAGTACCACCACAGTGTAGAAGTAGAAGTAGTACACCACAGTGTAGTAGTAGTAGTAGTACCACCACAGTGTAGTAGAAGTAGTACCACCACAGTGTAGTAGAGTAGTAGTAGTACCACCACAGTGTAGAAGTAGTAGTACCACCACAGTGTAGTAGAAGTACCACCACAGTGTAGAAGTAGAAGTACCACCACAGTGTAGTAGTAGTAGTAGTACCACCACAGTGTAGAGTAGTAGTAGTACCACCACAGTGTAGAAGTAGATAGTAGTAGTTTTTAACTGTCTCTTCAGTGTTTGCCGAGCTGCTTCTTTCTCTCCACACAGGAGTGAACGTGTTCTGTCCCTGATGGGAATCTGTATCTATGTAAATGTTAAACGGTCAGTTGTTCCCAAGCTGAGCTTTACGATGATCTACAGGAAGCAAGAAAGAAGAGTGAGACTCAGCAGGTTTTACAAAACATTTCAGCCTGAACCTGAACCGCCACACGTTGGCGTCCCGGCAGAATCATCGTCCGCTCAAAGAACTCGATGGACTGAGTTGGACTGCAGGTTTACAGAAGAACCTTTTGAAGCGTCGGGTTTTTATTTTTAATCCCAACTCCTCAGCAGACATCACGCTTCATCCTGGTTCCTTCAGTTCTGCTGGGGGGTAAAGGTCACGTTAACAACCTAACTTGGAGGTTTGTTTCTAATCTGTTTATCTTAACGCTTCCTTGACCAATCAGAACCCGTATTACTGAAACGACTTTAATAATCAGAAGAAGTTGTAAATAAATCATTATTGTTTGTTCAGATGTTTATATTGATGTATTTTTGAATCCATGTTCCCTCCAGCGTGGAACCTGCTGTGCTGCCTCTGACGCCCAGCAGGGGGCAGCAGGACTGTGCAGCACAGGCTGGATCTGTCCTGCTCCTCCTGTGCGGAGACTCTCAGTCTGACCGGCCGTCTCCGCCATCCTGAGACGCAGCGTCCGGGACACACAGCTCAGCCAGAATCACAGCTGAGCTAGAAGCCAAACGGCAGGTGAGCAAACAAATACAACAACAGAAAAGTAAACACCGGGGCTCTTCATCCTCCTCCTCTCTCCCCTGTCAGCACCTGAAGAAGCAGAAGTTCACCTACGACCCGTCACACAGAAAGGTTTCCTGGAGGCCCGAGTTCTGGAGCTCCTCAGGAACCTGCTGTCCAAGTAAGGAACCTCTCACGCTGGATAATGTGTCATTATATAACATGATGTGAAGCCGATGCAAGTCTTTGATAGGAGGAGTAATATTGTGAATATTAAATATCTCTGAATGGATTTCATCACGTATATATTTATAGATATTTTGAAACCTCGTCATGTCCCATCTGAATATATTTCATGTCCTCACTCTACAGATTTCCTTCTACAGTCCGCAGCAGCCTTTCCCTCAGACCAGGTCAGCACATTCTCTTCTTCTTCTTCTTCTTCTTCTTCACATGCTCACACTAAATGAACTAACACTAAATACACTTGCTACTGTATCAGCTTCAGATTCTACTGATCCACTGCTCACACTGATATTACTGACATTACATCTGACCTGGACCTCATTAGACCTGGACTCCACTACATTTCAGGCCAAATGCTGCACTTTTTACTCACTCTGCACATTATTAACACAAACACACAGTAACTATCACATGTTGATGGATCATGTTAGCTTCAGATAGCCAGCGCTATATAAAGGATGCTTTATACTGTTACTGGGACTCGAACACAGTACTTTTACACTGTGCCGCTGCTTTTGCTTCTTCCACCGCTGCTTCACATCATCATCTCCATGGAAACACTGAATGATTATTGTTTCTTGTCTGCAGCTTCACTCACTGATGGATTTTCAAACTGTTCACTTGTCACAAACCTGTGGACTCATTTCTTCTGTCTCTTCCAGGCTGGGGGACACGCCCTGAAGACTCGCTTCCAGCTGACACCACGAGTCCCAGCAGCACCTGTTCTGGACCAATAAAGACCTTGTGCTGTCGGTCATCTTCCACCTTTAGGAAAACTTCAGCCACTTCCTGTTTCCCGCTCCATAACCCCAGCTTCTACCTCTCCAGAACACCGGGAGGGGACACGGCCCCCTCCCGAACCCGACGCCGCGGGACCGGCTCCGGGTACCCGGCCGCACGCGGGATTCGAACCACCGCTGCACTGCGCCTCGCGGTCGCCATCGAACCCCACGCCGCCACCGAGTCCCCTT